CAGTTAATGTATCACCAAGTCATGTCTGAGGTAACAGAGTAAATAATATTTACATTTAGTATAAAAAGCAGATCTATCGAAAATGTGTCGTACCCGGAAGCAGACCGTCGTCGTTTTGATGTTTCAGAAATTCCACTAGTTTGAACCTTGCCAGGGGATGTTCCACTTGATATTGAGCGATGCTTCCCGCCAAAGCCAATACGGGCTCGAACCGTCCTTCCACCCCCCTTCCACTTTCCTTTCTCCTTCTCTTCAGTCTCTATCCTATCTCTTTTAACATCAACGCCTCGACTTAACCATACTTGACTGTCTTCAATACCTTCACTGCCAGTCCATTCAGCAAGACATCCTGATCCCGATTCGCAGGTCAAGATGGAGTCTCGCAAACGCCCCACCGCTCCACTACCAGTCGGCCAATTAGGTGTTCGAGTGCTTGGCTCAAGTTCCGGAGACACATGCATTTTCGAAATGAGCTGACGACCTGTACAAATTGGTGCAGCAGATCCAAGTCTCATTTGGCTTGAGCCAGACCAAGTCCCACTTGGTTCAGGCGAAACTTTAACAGAAGATGTGCAGGAACCAACAGATTCTAGACACATTGGTGAAATTGTCGGTGTTGATGGATCAAGATTCAGTGGATGAGGTACCGCGACAGAGAAAACTGATGGCGAACGGGTCTGAACTTCATTACGATCCAAGCCAGAATTCGTTACATGAAGTGTAGAGGAATCATCATAGGATAATGAAGCAGGGTTGGTGCGGATGCAGGAGGAATAGCTGCCTGTGACAGCAGAAGTGTCAAGACCACCAGTATAGAAAGTGCTAGCGCCTACGATGAAACCGGTGTTGGAAACTACATCTTCACAGCGAAACAGCAATGGATCGCTTCCGGCAGAAGATTCTGCAGGTTCCAACATGAGCGTTTTATATTTGAAAAAGTGAATAGAGGATGAATGTAGATAAGAGCTACAAAGTTAAAAAGAATTTACAAAAAACGGATCTAGTAACAAATTCTATCTACAAGTATGAAAAAATGAGCGAATTAGGCTTATGCATTCTAAATATAAATAGCTAAAAACAAACTTATTGTTTTAAAGACGTGGATCCAGCTTGATTCGTTTGTTGGTAAAGGTAAAGGCGAGAAGCCCACTGCTGCACATAAAACAGCTTCCTTCAATTCGTGCAACAATCTTATCCCGGAAAGAATACTCAATTAAAATGGATGAGAATGAGTACTTCAAATTGCCCAATTTTACGAAAAAATTCAGTTAAGGACGCTTATTTAATTTTCATTGACTGTTGCTCTTAAGCGCCTTTTTGTGGACAAAAAATAAAATAAAATAAATACAAAGTATTCGTCTGCTCCAAAGTCTAATTGCATGGACTCAGACTAAGCAAAATACGATGTTGGTTTAGGTGATAAAGACAGGAAGTTGAATTTTCCAACAATGAGATAAGTAGCCCCACATCTCCATTGGAGTCCACATAGCCTTGCTGCCCAAAAGGTCTTATCATCTAGGTTGGACTGCAGTTTCGAACTCGCCTAGGTCACATCAGCACCCCAAACTGAAATCAAACATTAGTAGCACAGTGTATAATCTCCAAATATCAATCGCAACGCCATACTGCTACGATTGACCTTGAACCACAGAGCAAAAGTGAATTATAAGGAAGGTCATGTTTTTCCAATATCACAGTGTTCGGTGGAATTGTTTATAAGGCAAGGTTGTGATCGCTATTACAGCCAACGACATTACTTATTTACCCTCGTAAATAGGTTTTCAAAACTATCAGTAGCTCTTGAATACGAACTCTGTCCACCATATTTAATTTAAGCTGAAGTAGTGTCCACACTAAGATATAAATAAACTGAATAGAAATTCCTATTTAATTTCACATAGCTTTGTTTCTCAAAAAGTAGTTTCGAAAATCAACTTAAAAAAGAAGATATGCGATATAGTCGGTTGTGATAAAAAAAACGATTATGCTTCTTGATAATCACACCACAGGAAATTAGATGGGAAAAGCCTGGCCTTCCGCTAGATTCGCTTTTGCCCAGTGATCAAGAGGAACTCGTAGCAGTATGGCATAAG